GGAATTACTTGTAAACACTGGGCATCTATACTTAACAGGTAGCATAAAAGAGACGTGTGACACAAGGCAGGGGGCTGTGCCTTGGAGATTTTGAGTGTCCTATTTGGCCCTGGTCAAATTGATCACCCTTGGATTGTAAAACTTAGAGGCTTTTCTCTCTTCCTGAAACCCTGAAACCTAAAATGTCTAAACACTAGAGATGAAATCAAGACTTTTGAAAACAAATAGACTTAAGTAAAATACCTCCTCCTTTCCTCTCTTCCTTCCTCTTTTCCTCTCTCTTTTACTCCTTCCCTCTTTTCTTCTTCCCTTGTTTTTCAGGGTTGAACTCAGGGTTTCCCCCTTGCTAGGTAGGGCCTAGCCCAAGCCCTAAAGCAATTCATTTTTCTGCAATCTAATACATTTATAAATTTCTGGCTTTAATCTGAATTTGTCAAATAGTGTTTCCTTTTCTTTCTTTCCCTTCCTTTCCTCTTTTTTCTTGTGTCCTTCCCTCCTTCTCTCCCTTCCTTCCTTCCTTCTTTCTCTTTGTCTTCTTTGTGCTGGGCTGAGGAATCACACTTTACCCAGATGGCCTGATACGTGTGTTCGATCACTAAGCTGCATGTCCAGTCTCCTTATGTGTACATTTTAATGACTTATTTTATTTGTAAACAAAATTCATTTTTATTATCAAAGTTTGTATTTGCATTAAATAAAATATTAAAAAATTTACTAAAGTAAGGAGAAAAGACATTCATGTTACTATCCAGAATGTCTAACACGTTCTTCTTTTTTTTTTAATTGTGAAAATACTGTACAGAGGGGTTACAATTACATGGGCAAGATAATGAGTACATTTCTTATCAAGCATTGTTGCCTCCTCCTTTGTTTCCCCTTCCCATCCCTTCCCATCTCCCACCCCCTCACCCTCCCAACCCCCCCAACCCCCCAACCAAAGTTTAAAGTTTGTTTTTCAACATAACATCTTATTGTTGCAATGGGTCCACCTGTATCCCTAGTTAAACAATTTGTTTTTCCCTTCCCCTCCACAAATTATACCAACATCAAACACAATGAAAGCAGGGGTTATACTGTGTGGTAGGGATATACAAAGCAACAAAGAAATATGTTAGAAACAATCACATGAAAGAAAAAACATTTGAATACTTATGTTGGGGTTCATTTCACCTAACATCAACTTATCTGACCTTTTCTGCTTGTCTCAGACATATACTAGTCATTGCAAATAAGGGAAACCATGGGACCGATGTTTCTTTGGGCCTGGCTTACTTCACTTAATATAATTTTTTCCAAGTCTTTCCATTTCCTAACAAATGGGGCAATGTCATTCTTTCTGATGGAGGCATAGAATTCCATTGTGTATATATATACCACATTTTCTTGATCCATTCATGTACTAGGGGCATCTGGGTTGGTTCCATATCTTAGCTATGGTAAATAATGCTGCAATAAACATAGTTGTGCTGGTAGCTTTAGTGTGGCCTTGTTTGTGATCATTTGGGTAAATGCCCAAAAGTGGAATTGATGGATTATGGGGGAGCTCTATGTGGAGTCTTTTGAGGAACCTCCATACTACTTTCCAAAGTGGTTGAACTCTAACATGTTCTTGTACATATAGGTTTGTGGCATGGATTTTGCTTTTGATTGATTGATTGTTATGTTGGAGCTTAGTCCCAGGATACAAACACCCCTAGGCAATACCCTCAGCTTTCTAGCTTCCTTGTTTGCATATTTCCCTGAGTTATACATTATTCTTATTTCATATCTCATTTATTTATTTTACATGTGCTAGGTCTCAATTTTATGTTTTTGTTGTTACCTCTTGGAACTGTCTTCTGAGCTTGCAGGTGTATTCTTTGAAGAGTGCTTCGCAGATGTGTGTGTATGTGTTTAATCATTCAGAACCAGATATGAAAAACATATCCTCGTCATTTTGGATCAAAGTAAAGTATGATTAAAATGTATTTGCTCTAGGTGCCAGTGACTCATGCCTGTAATAGTAACTACTCAGGAGGCTGAGATCTGAAGATCTCAGTTCAAAGCCAGCAGGAAAGTCTGTGAGAGTCTTTTTTTCAATAATCACAGAAAAACCCACCCGTGGCACAGTGGCTCAAGTGGTAGAATGCTAGCCTTGAGCAAAAAAGGGCCTAGGGGTAACACTCAGACCAAGTTGAACCCCCACAGCTGGCAAAAAAAAAAAAAAGTATTTGTATGTGAAGTTTCAAGAGGATTTCTTAAAAAAAAAAATAGAAACAGAAAAGAAAAGAAAATGTTTGAAATATATTTCTAGTCTTTGGCTTGTAGGAAAGTAGTGGAATGTTTATCTAGCATGTTATCATGCCCTGCGTTAGGGTGTGATTCCCCAGCAGAACAAAAGAACACACACACACACACACACACACACACACACACACTGCTGATGGCTAGATCACAGGCAGCCACAGTCATTGCAATGATTTGAATTGATTTCTCCCTACAATCTGATTTGAAAAATACACAATCTGAGGCAAAACCATATTCTCTGTAATTTAAATCATTTCCCTGGTTGAAACTTCAGTTTTTCTTAAAATCATAAATAGTTAAAAATTTCCTAATACATGAACTCCTAAATCTGGAATGTATTTTGAGAAGCTCAATTGATCTAAACAAATTCAAGAAAACCATTCCCATTCCCTGATTGGTTAGAGCCTAAAATGAAAGTAAAAGCAGCCTGGGTGGGGGGGGGGGGGGGCGCGAAATGCGCTGCAGTAGTGACCCAGAGAACACACCATGGTTGGTCCTTCTCTCAGGATAATGCAGCTGGCAGAGGTTTCTCCTAAGTGGGTGTCATCTAGTGTATGCAAAGTCTTCTTTTTGGAGATATTTAACCACCCCCATTCATTGCTGCTGTACATCAGCAAAGCAGGAGTTCCCTGAAACAAGAATTCCCTGAAGAACCTGGGGTGGAGGCTTACACAGTGAGACCCTGTCTCTAATTCACAACTAACTGATCTAACTTATTAAATAAATAAAACAATGAAAAATAACTCAGCAATCAGATTACATAGGAGACTTTCTCCTTCCAGGCAGGAGGTGCTGCCCTAAATCCTAGGGAGGCTGCTCAAATCAAGCAGTGGGCTAATCTGTGCCCATATTACCTAGTGAGCTTTGCAGAGTCCTTGAAGGTTGAGCACTAGGCCAAGCTGACTCTTGAGCTAGAGCTTCTGGATGCCTTGTAGCAGGCTCACATCTCCTGCAAATCTTTCTGGATTGTAGCCTTAGCTGGTTTTCCTGCTTATTGAATCTTTAAATGGACAGAAATAGATTCAAAAGAATATTTTTTCAAGAGTAATTTTACCCACGTTTGGGTGAACCATGGTTATATATATTATCTATTACAAATTTTATATTTTATACTATATATATTATATACAAATATATATTGTATATTATATATTTGATGTATTATACATATATATATATATATATATCTAAGTTCTTTGGAAGTACGCAGCATAGTATTTTCATTATTCTAAAATGCACCATCCAATTTCTTACTTAGATTTCTTGACTAAGATGTTACTTGTGAGGAATTATCATGTTCAGTTCAATTTGGACAACCTAACTAGCATTGTGGGCGTTTGTGAATGCAAAACTTAGAAACCATCTCTCTAGACAAACAGATAAGGTCAAAAGCTATGCACATATGACCATATAGGATGATGTTAAGTTACATGAACCCCAAGATAGGGACACAAGTGTTTTTTTTTTCTTGCTTGCTATTGTTTTTTAATGTATTTATAATGTACTGCGTTTTTTTTTGTTGTTGTTGTTTCTTTGGTATGTTCTTCCCCCACAGTATAACCCCTGTTTTCACTGTATTTGATGTTGGTGCCCTGCATCTTGTATATACATTTTTCTAATTTGGGAAGGAGAAGGGAAGGGAAATAACAAAATGTTTAAATAAGGATAAAGGTTGACCCATTGTAACAATGAGACAAGACACTATGTTGAAAACGAACTTTACAACTTCGGGTGAGGGGGGGGGAGGGACGGGTGGAGTTGGAGAGGGTAGGGATGGCAGGGGAAAACCAAAGGAGGAGGTAGCAATGCTGCATAGCAAATGTACCCATTACCTTACTCATGTAACTGTAAACCCTCTGTATAGTATTTTTACAATTTTAAAAAAAAAACATTAAAAAAACCCCATCTCCATTTCGGAGCTAATTTCTGAGGTAGACTTTGAGACCTGATCACCACCAGTGCCTTTCCTGGGGGTGAGTCACTTCCCAACAGCCAAAGTCCTTATTCCTGCAGTATGTAGAATAACAGTTAATTGTGCACAATAGCAACGTTATATAACTGCTTGCCCCATATTTGATTCTTTTTGACCCTAAGGCATAAACATCTTCCAACATTTAATTTCTCCTTAGTTCATTTCTAAGAAACCAGCCCTTGTGTCGTGCAACTTAAGCTGAGAAACCCCAACCACACATTCCAGGGCATAAGGACCCCACCTGTCCAAGCCAGCGGGGGTGGGGTGGGGTGGGGTGGTGTGCAAATCAGCTGGGGAGAGGAGATTCCAGAACTGAGCGCCTAGGTCCCTTTGTCAGTCTTCCTGGTGACCCTGGCTCACTGCGCAAGCTTATCTCGGCCAGGCAGACTGAGCCACGCCTTCCGGCCTCGTCTGTCCTGGGGAAAGCCAATTGCCAAGGGAGAAAAAGCCCTGTGCTCTCGGGTCATTATCGCCAAGCCGCGTCCCGGTGGCTGTGGGCGCCTAGTGGCCGCCGCTCGCCGCTACCCGCGCTGCCGCACCGTGGTGGGTGCCCGGCCGCGCGCAGCGTGGCGTGAGTGTTTCCATTGCGCAGGAAGGAGAGGGGTCCTGAAGCCAGGAGAAGATCCCGCCCCGCTGTAGCTGGGGGAAGCAATACAATCCTCGGAGCCCCGCACAGAGGCTGGACGTCACCGAGGAGCGGAGGGCGTGTTTGCAAGGCTGATGACTCAGGACAACGTGTGTGTTTAGTGATTCCCGGGCTCTGCGTCCTTGCACACGCGTTATCCGGAGATCACAGCTCTCGGCTCTCCGCAGCGCTGTTCACCCAGTGAGTACGTTTAGGCAGGATGTGGACGGTGGGAATGGTGTGGATAATTAATTTAGAGTAGCTCCCGTGGCGGGGATGGCTATGGAGAGCTTGCACGGATTCATTTGAAAGTGAGTTTTGAAATCAGCCTGCACTGATCATTTAGAGTGGATTCCAGACCCTGTAGTCTGTGGTAGGACTCTCCTTCAATTGTGTAAATAAAATCAAATAGAGTTGATGTTGGATGGATAAAGCTTATTCAACGTGTTACTATAGTGAAGAAGAAATTTGTTGATATTTACTATTTTAGGAAATTGGCATATCTATTTTTTTCCAGGACATAAAATTTAACCGTAGTTTTAGCTCCCTTTTGTAATTATTCTGTGGATACTTCTTCTGTATGTGTGCTATTAATATTATTATAGGCACAAACCATCAGTGCCTGTGGCTTATATATTCTCTCTCCTTCCCCCACCCCCCACCCCCGTGTCTGAGTCTGGGTCTATGTGTGTGTGTGTGTGGGGGGGGGGGATCAGGGCTTGGGCGCTGTCTCTGATCTTTTATGCTCAAGACTAGTTCTCTACCACTTGAGCCAAGCCCCACTTCCAACTTTTTGGTGGATAATTGGAAATGAGAATCTCAGTTTTATCTGCCTAGCCTAGCTTGGAACCACGATCCTCAGATCTAAGCCTCCTGAGTAGCTAGGATTTATGGCAGAAGCCATATTTTTAAAAAAATTTATTATTTTAAGAAACTATGTTTTCCCCCATAGGCAAGGAATCTTGGCTTCAACAACCAGTCCTGCCTCCAGCCTCCAAGTAGCTGTGACTACAAGCAGCACACCACATAAAACGCTGTTGAGTTTGAATAATTAACTGAAAAAAAGTAACCAGCTTATTGTAGCGCTTGTTAAAAATAATGTTGAAAACTTTGAACATTACACAATCATAGGACACAAAACAAATTGGGTTGAATTTTAGCTCTAAGTATATACTTATATTTGTCCTTTTATGTTTGCCATAATTTTAGAAGTGTTAGAGCTAAAACCCCTTTCAAAAAAACAGTCATAAATATGTCTTGGGTAGCTTTCTTCCAGCCTTTAGGCATTATACACGAACTCCACTAGGAAACACATTGTTTTAAGATACAGTAAAGTCCACACACATACATCGTGAAATTAACAGGTGTAGACTGGACTGCCTTTTGTTCCTACTAAGTTGCATCCTGAATGCCCTAGTACACAGGATGGATGACAGGAAAGAAGGATGAGAAGGAAGCATTCTGCCTCTTCAGAAGCTTCTGCTGCATTTACTTTGGAGGGAAATGTTTTTGTATCCTTGGGTGGCAACGAGGCCGAAGAGTGTAGCAGTGGAGAGTGCCCTGCCTGCTACAGGCACCAATGCCTATTCTTAGCACCCTTCCTGAGATGACCTGTGGAAGCAGAGGCTTTGTGACCCTGTGCTGATGGGTCTTGTTCTGGGACAAACCTAAAGTTTATGCAGATTGGGTGAACATTGTATTCTTTAGCAGATGCTTAGTAAATGTCTTTCTCTCCCCCTACTCCTGTTCTCTGCCCTCCCCGCTCTTCCATTCTTCTCCTCCTCCTCCCCTCCCCTTCTCCTTTCCCTTCCCCTTTCCTTCTTCCTTCTTCTACACACACACACACACACACACACACACACACATGTGGCCTCACACTTGCTAGGCAAGCATTATACCAAGCATTGTACCTTTAGCCCCTCTTTTTTAAATGGACATATTGTAATTGTAGCTATTTATAGGGTTCATTGTGACATTTCAATTTACAAATGTAAAGATGAGCTAAGGGTAATTTTCGTATCTGTCACCTGCCTCATACATTTTGTCAGCAGGTTTTTGTTTTGGTTTTGGGGTCTGAAACTTGTTGTGTAGCCCAAACTGGCCTTAAATCCATGGTATTAGAAATGATCCTCTGTATCTGGTCTGTCAATAGTTTTTGGTACAAGTTTGGCAGCAGTTGAAGAAAAAAATATATGTGGCAAAATTCATACTCTGTTGCTCACTGGGGTAATAATTTAGGATTAAAACTTAAATGTCCTGCATGGCCACCTGCCTATGTCAAAATGTTTTTTAGGCCTAAGGGAAACTAAGTTTGTTTCTATAAAACAGTGCTCAGCTCACCTCAGACAGTGAACTAGAAATTGATCATTGAAATGATTTTAGAATCATGTTTCCTTTTTCTTTTCAATAATGGCATTTTATGTCATATACATGTTATTTAACTTACAGACTTAGGAAAGCATTGGCGTATTTGGAGTGATTCAGCATCTCATTCCCATCTGCTCTCCCCACCAACTGATACTGATGACTCCCACTCATTGGCAGGCTGAAAAGAATGGATATTTAATTTTGAGCTACATAGTTAACTTATTTATAGAATTATATGAAGTATTCAGAGAATCCTATTCAAAGGCAGTCATGAAGTACTTATTTAAACTGAGGGTGGGTTGGTACATATACAGCAAACCCCTTTTCCTGTTCCTGCTCCCATCCTAAAACTCCTCCTGTTCCTGCTCCCATCCCAAATTCCTTCTCCTGTTCCTGCTCCCATCCTGATAGATACCATTGAATAAGTTTGTTTTCACAAGAAAGGTGAGCAAAGTCTTGGAATGTGAGAGAGAAAGATAAAGACACAAAGGAAGAAGAGGAGGAGGAGGAGGACAAGGAAGAGGAGGAGAGGAGGAAGAGGAAGAATAAGAAGAATAAGAAATTCCACTATTTCAAAATATGGAGGGAAGAGGAAAGGAGAGGTAAAAAGGGGAAAGAGAGGAGAAAGAGAGGAGAGAGACAGAGGGAGAGAAAAAGAGATTTACCTAGCATCTAAAAAATAGAATATTCAACTGTTGAACTAATATTTCTTCACTTGGTGGATCACTAGGCCAATCTTCTGTGCTTGGCTGGAAAGGTGTTGTTACTATTTAGAGCAGTTCATGGCTTAAAATGAGTTCTTAGGCCCAGGTCACATTCTGTAAGTCACCTCTATTGAGTTCCTCACATTATCCTGAAGGCTTAAAAGAAGACTGTAGAAAGTGATCTCCATTTAAAGGTTGACTGTCTCACAAAAAAAGAGGAAGACTGCCTTAGAGATTCATTAACTCACTATTCCTGGATTTGATGAGCTGTGTGAACTCTGGCATCACTCTATACTCCCATCTCCTGTTCTTTCCCAGTCTCCAAAGAATCTTTACAAAGCTTCTGTTTGGTTATGACCTTATTGTAGAATGGTGCCTCCTGCTGCAATTGTGGGTCTTTATTCCCTCCCATCCCTTCCTTTTTTTTTTTTTCTTGCTTTCTTTCTGTTTGCTTGCTGTTTTAAAGTCCCTTTCCTGGTGCTTGAACTCAGAACCTAAGTGTTTTTGCTGGGCTTTTGTGCTCACAGCTAGCACTCTACCACTTGAGCCACAGTTCTACTTAAGACTTTTTGGTAGTTGATTGGAGATGAGAGTCTCATAGACTTTTCTGCCCAGGATGGCTTCAAACCATCAGCCTCAGATCTCAGCCTCCTGAGTAGCTGGATTATAGGCATGAGCCACCAGTGCCCCAGACTATTCCTTCTGAAAGATTATTAGATTTTGCCAGAGAACCATGTAGACATCCAGGTACAGAGAATAAAGAAAGGTTTATTGCCAGGAAAGGGGCCGGCAAGACTCCTTCTCACAAGGGAGAAGTGAGAAGTGCCAGCTATTGTCCCTGGTGACCTATATAACCTAGGAGGCTTAGGAGAAGCTAGAAGGGGCTAGGAGGCAGAGACCCTGGTGTGGATATATGGGCCCGGGTCCCACAGGAGACCCTGGTGCACATATCCACACCAGGGTCTCCATCATGGCAGATTAGGATTTATGGCTACTATCCAAATAGTAGATAGGGGTCCTGCAGCTGCCCAGCCCTGAAGGTCACTCTAAGGGGCTCTTGTTCCCTTATATGGTGGTAGCTGCCCCAGAGAGGTGCCATTCCAAGATAAAGGGGGTTGGAAGTTGGTTATTTACTGCCTTTACTACATGGACCTAGTGTTGCCTACAGAGGGAGCATACTAAGCTGTGGAGAAGGGAAGAGAGTGTACTAAGCTATGGGAAGGGAGCTCATTTTGCTAACACCTTCCTTCTTTTTTTTTTTTTTTTCGTGGGGCCTGAACTCTGGGCCTGGGCGCTGTCCCTCAGCTCTTCAGCTCAAGGCTAGCGCTCTACCACTTGAGCCACAGCACCACTTTTGGCTTTTTTCTTTTTGCTTATGTGGTGCTGAGGAATCGAACCCAGGGCCTCAGGCATGCAAGGCAAGCGCTTTACCACTGAGCCACCTTCCCAGCCCAATACCTTCCTTCTTTTTTTTTTTTTTGGGTCCAGTCATGGGGCCTGAACTCTGGGCCTGGGCGCTGTCCCTCAGCTCTTCAGCTCAACGCTAGCGCTCTACCACTTGAGCCACAGCGCCACTTCCGGCTTTTTTCTTTTTGCTTATGTGGTGCTGAGGAATCGAACCCAGGGCCTCTGGCTTGCAAGGCAAGCACTCTACCACTGAGCCACCTTCCCAGCCCAACACCTTCCTTCTTATGAGCAAAGAAGAACCTGCTGTAGAAATGTGTTGCTAAGTTCTTGGGTGTGCATTTTGAGAAACCAAATACATTTGTGTTTCTGTACTTCCTGAGTGTTTTCTGTCTGCTCTTGCATGAAGAGGTGGGCAGCAGTCTGTAAATAAGTATTTTTATTTTAACCTAGATATGACTGGGTACCTGTGGTTCATGCCAGTATTCTTAGCTACTCAGGAGCTAAGATCTGAGATTCACAGTTTGAAGCCAGCTTCAGCAAGGAAGTCTGAGAGATTCTTATCTCCAGTTAACTAGGAGAAAAAGATGGAAGAGGGGGTGTGGTTCAAGTGATAGAGTACCAGGCTTTATGAGAAAGCCAAGCAAGAGTACAAAGCCCTGAGTTCAAGGCCTAGTACTAACATACATAAAAAGAACAAAACAAAAAGAGAAAGGAAGGGGAGAG